TGAGTTGAGCTGACGTTTCCATTCAATTTCACATAGCCTTGCTTTCCCAAAAGTTGTTCTCATCCAGGTGTGTTGATAAGACCGATGCGAGGTCGAAACTGCAGTCCACTCCAGCCGGAATGTCAACACCTTTTGGGAAAGAAAGGCTTTGTGAAATTGAATGGAAGCGTCAGCTCAAATCATATCATTGTGGGAAAATTCTTCTTCTACTAGTCCTTCATTACTTTAAACGAAATTGGGTGAATTTATCTCATATTACTGATCTACTGGTAGTCACGAAAGCTTTACTTGATTCGAAAAAAGAATTTCACATAGCCTAGTCTTCTTAAATGGTGTTCGCATCCAGGATTGACAGTGCAGCGTGTGAGGTCGACTCCCGCTTGGAGTGTTGGTAAGATCTATGCGAGGTATAAACTGAAGTCTAATTCAGTCTGGATGAGACTATGTGAAATTTGGTGGAAAGCATCGGCTCTACTCATATCAGTGTGGAAAGACCAACTACCAGTCCCTCATCACCTTAAAAGAAATAGGATGGAAACAACTCACAGACGTTACTTTGTCTGTTCTAATTGCTTTAAACCATCACTATTGGTCTTGTGCATAGGCGAGCACATACAGGAACATACACATACAGAAACAGATACACTCACATGCTTCGAGGTTGACATATGACTGGAACTAACCAATTCACCTTATGCCTCATCCATGAGCTCAGATTAGCTCTTTATGGATGAGCCTGTGAGTTTTCTTGACTCTTTAGCTTGAATATAATTGCATGAATGATACCGTGTTCTAATGATGTTTATCACACGACGGACGAAAGCTTAGCATGTTTTCACCGGAATCGAATGGTATTGCTTCCGAGCAGCGTCAACAAAAATGTTCTAGTAAAACCAATCAACAGCTGGTCAAGAGGAATCCACTATCGTCTTCTGGCGGGATCGACCTTCGAATCTCTTCACCAAACACTTCCACTTCAAATGGATGTAAGCTTAACAATTATGAAACAAGAGATGCCTCGAAACGCAACTTTCCTTAGCATACACTCGTGTTGATGCCTAATGATACAGAAAAGAGGGCCTCTGATTGGCTGGCTGTAGGACTGTGTTAGAATATTGTATGAAAGGGTGAAAAAATCCATCTGCTTGAGGGCGGAGACAAGCTGGGCCTGAGGGCAATAAGCGGCTTGCTGACAACGAAATCAACCAAGAGGAACGGAAAGAAGATACAAGTGAATGTGATTTCTGAGATCCACCACCATTAGTTATCGTCATCCAACACAGGGTTACTCGCTAAGTGGTGCGCCAGCCGAAGAAATTTAGTATCTAAAGTGACCTTAAAGACGACTCTGCAGCTCCAGATTAACAAATTTGTAAGAGTAATTGCTTAAGGAAGCTAATTGCTAGACATAATGGTGTCAACATATTTTAAAAAGCGATTTTACAGAAAAATAAAATCAGCTGTGGGACGATACTGTTGGCCTGTTGGTGTTTCATAGGCCAAACTTTGAGCAATCTACAAAGAATTGTAGAGTCATCTAGAATTTCCCGATGAATTACGCGAAAATGAGAAAATCTATTTCAAAGGAATATCTGACCTAAATTTTAGCTCGACATCACGCATTGAATAGACCCATTTCCAAGTAATAGTCTACATTAATTTGCAAAGATTACGCTTATGAGTTCGACAGCTGCCATACTACTCATTATATGTCAGTAGTTTTATTAAGTTGAAATAATTATGTCTCCAACAGACAAGTCGGAAAATGGATCAAATGAATCGGATCAACCCATTTGTAAAATATAACTCCGAGCATACCTCTTCTTCTTCTCCAGTTATGTCGACCAGTTGCCCGAGGACTATCAATCTTCGGTCGTGAAGCGCCTCAATGCTGACCACAAGGTCGGCATCTTGCGTTGTCTGAGGGTTCACAACATTGCCCTGCCCTCCCTCTTTAAGAATTGGTGCCTTTTGAGGGTCGGCCAGTTCTGCTGAAGCCGCAGAGGCGTCCAACGGTGGCCTCGGCTCGTCCGAGCCGGTTGGTCTCGACGCGAAGTTCTGCAGCACTTGTGACTTGGTGAGGGGTGCATTCAACAGACGACGAGAACCCTCGCGCTCCGTGGTGGGCACTCGAATCAGTGGATCGGGATGAGAACTCGTCCGTAAACCGAGTTCCATCCAGACTCGATCATCTTGAGGTCCCATCGTCACAGTCGCCAGTCGGGAGCGTAGAGCCTTGGATAATGGCCAACTTGCGTATGCCTCCACTAAAAATTGCCATACCTTATAGAAGTATGTGAGTTTTGCGAATTAGTTGTCAGTGTTATGTGATGGTTATTATGTCATTACAATCATAGTATGTCATGATAAGTCTTTTTATGATTATAAATTGATGTGCATACGTAATGATATCGTTGATGTATGCATGCGTGTATGTGTCTACATGATAATTATCATGCTTGAGTGTATTTCATACACGAGCGAATGTAGCATTTTGCATATGCATGTTTATGTGTGTAATTTGGTAAGAAATAAAGTTGGTGCAAAGAGAAGGAAAGCGAAAATGAATAAATCGAAGCATAGGTGAGCCTTTACAAAGCGTAAGAAGAGGAATTCAAAAAGCATAATAAGTAACAATCTAGGATCAGAAATTTTCAATTTTAACATTTTGCCACCAGCACTATATGGGAAATTTTCTCCTCTTAAAACTTTTCTCCTCTTAAAACTTTTCTCCTCTTAAAACTTTTCTCCTCTTAAAACTTTTCTCCTAATTCTTGTTGAGTATGATATAGGCAATATAGGCTCTCAATCATGGCGAGGTCGACAACGATGCAGACTGTTACGAAACTTGTCATAGTTGTTATTGGTACTACTGAATATGGATAAGAAAAGCAGGAACAGATAATCAGGTTTACCATTGTTTTCGACGAATTCAAAAAAGGATAGTTCAAGGGAAAACAGAGTTCGGAGTTATTGCAAGGATTGCCGAATATTCCATCTATAATTTTAATGAGCAAACTCGTTTATCGTATTGGGACCGATTTATCATTCCACAATATCTATATAGCCCATATCATAATAATTCATATTTGTAATATGTGTCAACAAATATAACAACCCTAGGTCACTTAAGGTGATGAATACTAATGCGAGGAGGGGATTATTTAAGCAATGAGCGTAGATTTTGCCCATTTTAAGCGAACTATAATGGCTAAAGATTTCTGATAGTATATGATACTACTCACAACATAAATAAGTAGTATTATCAAGTTTAATGGCAAATCCATGATTGCTTAATCGGTAATCACACTATACTAATGGGAATTTGAAGAAGCCTGGCTTGCGTTGAAAGTACCCTCTACTCTGCGACACACTGGCAATGTGCCTGATTAGTGGAATGGTAGCATCGCCATGATACTTACAACTCAGGTTCGAATCTCACTGGAGGAGTTGATGAGAGAAGGTGAAACAAAGTCGAACCTGCAGTCCTGAATGAGTGGAAAAACCAAAATATCAATCCTCAAATCAGCTTAAAATGTAATAGTAAGGTGTCACAAACAAAATGGTAAAAATTTACCGGTTCGAGTTCCGTAGGGGGCATTGGTGGGACGGTCCAGTCCAGTCAGGAGGAGGAAACGTTTGGGAAAGCAAGTCCAGGCAGATTTTGATGTTATTCTGAGACGTAAGCATATTATTGTAGGACAACTAGCCAACCTACGGTAACAACAGTTATTATTCAAGTTCTAGTGATGGCCTCGGCTATTTATTATGGGCATAACCGGCATTTTTCCCGATTTCCCTAATTTCGGGTGCCATTTTCTTCTTATAACTGGTAGTAAGAACATTTCTAAATTTTTGCGCTTTAAAAAAATTGTTTTATTTGACTTATGATGTGGATTAGCTACCATTTTCCTCCTCCCTTCTCGTCTCAAGTAATAATTATCTTTTATTGGTTATTTACCGAATTTGTTGCTCCAATTACGGCTAAATAAGCCAGGAAAAGGATATACTTATTGAGAACTGCTTTCCAACATTTGAATATTCTCTATCATTCAGCTTGCCAGGCAACTTGTCCTCGGTCAAATTCGCGAAATAAGTGACCACTGTGAAAACACGAGCCAAATGTTAGGCCTTTAGTATCATCATATGGTCTATAAATGAACTGGATCGTAAGGGAGAGGAAGAGAATACTGATCCCAGGTTCGAAACCCCATAAAGGTGCACAAAGCACTTCGTGGTATAGCCGACCTGAAGACGCCACCATTTATTCTTATCTTTCGCATTTTCTAATCACTTCAGGACCGCTTTCACGGATGATGCACAAATGTGGTTGCCGTAATGTTGAGCCTCGACACAGCGGCCCTGCCGCCAGGTTCGAATCCTGTTCTGTGACTGTTATCATCAAGAAACTATGAGATGTATTCACCCAATTTCATGTAAGGTGATAAAGGACTGGTAGAAGTAGAATTTTCCCACAAATGATATGAGTTGAGCTGACGTTTTCATTCAATTTCACGTAGCTTTGCTTTCCCAAAAGTTGTTCTCATCCTTAAACGAAATTGTGTGAATACATGTCATATTGAGAATTTACTTTATTTTCCGAATGAAGTATTTTTGTCGTGGCTACCAATGGAAACGTCCGCTCAACTCATATCAGTGTGGGAAAATTCTTCTTCTACCAGTCCTTCATCACCTTACACGAAATTGGGTGAATACATTTCATACTACTGATTTACTGGTAGTCACGACAAACAATACTTATATTCGTAA